CCTTCCCTGAATAGTAGTCCATCCTCTAATTGGAATTTGTAGTATTTGGAACGTGCACCTATGTCATCATTGTGGTTCAAATAAATTACTAGAATGATTGTGTTTCAGAATATTGATTAACCTTAATCATCCAATTATTTAATAAATTACTAAGGTGAAAAAAAGAGTTAGGGTCCTGTAGCCTAGTGGTCTAGGTGCCTAACCCTCTACAGACGAGGTCAACAGTTCGATTATAGCTGGTGGTAATTAATTTAATTAATTATCTCTGTAACCTTTAGGAGCTTTCGAATGTGGAACCCTGTAGCGGTAAGACTATATGATATATATATTTGGCCTATAAAGAATTCTTGAAAGGAGCTCCAAGCCATGGAGAAGACTGGGCACTGTATGTGACATGGGTTACAAAAGGTTTACTGCAGAAGGCTGTGCATGTGAATTCACGATTGGCAAGGTAGCACCAACAACTCTAAGGCAGCATTGAGATTTTGATTGGGAGGATGGCTATATTCAGTATTTCTAGAAGTAGTGAGAGAAGCAGTAAACATAGTAAGGGGCTGTAGTAAGAAGATGGCTTTACCAAATAAAGAACACCTCTGGCGCAAAGAAACAATGAAAACTGGCTAAAAGAAACTCTGAAAAGCATGGAAGCAAGTGATCTGATAGTACAAAAATAAAGACAGGCAAGAGAATAATAGTTGCACAACTTATATGAAGTCTATGATGAAATATAGCAGAAGCGCGGGTCCCGGATTACTGGCTTGTGACAGTGATTAAATGAGGTATATAACTTCTGTCCTAAGGATCTAGACTTCTGTAACACCATACCAATAGGGAGTACTATAAAAGGATTGGTAGCCTAATTTGGTGGTGTATGATATGAATACCTGAATCGATGTGAAATATCATCCTAGTTTGGCAACTAAATTGTTTGAGATACGGCAAGACCCATAAAGTAACTCTTCTAGGAACACCAAACTAGAAGCACAAAGAATGCCCACTCGAAGGACACCAATTTGGAAGTAATACAAGTACCAAATTAGGAGTAATATGATAAGTGATGAGGGATGGAAGTTGGTTAGTGGACATTGTACAGTAGTATATAAGTGGGATATATATAATAAAAATATGTTTGGGAACCATCTGGTGATTTAGTAATTGGTCTAATTGCAGGGCAGTTATTAAGGAGGTAAAATCTCATATAGCAGGTCGCACATAGATACTAAGTTAGTATCTCGTAATACATTAGAGTGTTGTAATTATACATGTGACATTTGTAACCAAAATACCTTAGCGTACTAATAAATAGTATTGGTAAGACTGCTGAATTTAAAAAAAAAAAAAATTACTAAAGTGAATACAAAGTTTAATTCAATTTACTTTAATGATTGTATTTCAAGAAAACGTGTGATTAACCATAATAATTCAATTGTTCAAATAAATTACCAGAGTGAGTACAAAGATTAATTTGATTTGCTTTAATATTTGTATTTTAAGAGAACATGTGATTAATCATTCAATCGTTCAAATAAATTACCAGGGTGAGAATGAAATTTAAATCAATTCACTTTAACAATTATATTTCAAGAGAATGTATAATTAACCGTAATCATTTAATTATTTAAATAAATTGCCAGAGTGAGTACAAAGTTTAAATCGATTCGCTTTAACCGATTGTGTTTTAAAACATTGATTAACCATAATCATTCAATTGTTCAATGAATTACCAAAGTGAGTATGAAGTTTAATTAATTCATCTTAATAACTGTGTTTCAAAAAATGTGTGATTAACCATAACCATTCAATCATTCAATAAATTACTAGAATGAGTACGAAGTTTAATTCAATTCACCTTAACAATTGTATTTCAAGAGAATATGTGATTAACTGTAATCATTTAATTGTTCAAATAAATTACCAGGGCAAGTATGAAGTTTAATTTAATTTGCTTCAACAATTGTGTCCCAAGACATAGATTAATCGTAATCATTCAATCATTTAAATAAATTACCAAAGTGAATACAAAATTTAATTTAATTCGCTTAATAGTTGTATTTCAAGAGAACGTGTGATTAACTATAATTATTTAATCGTTCAAATAAATTACTAGGGCGAGTATGATGTTTAATTTAATTCACTTTAACAATTGTGTTTTAAGACATTGTCACAGACAGATTTTTTAGATACTAAGAAGCGAATAAGTTTATTATTAAACAGACTGAACATTATAAAAAGGTTTGCATTCTCTTTTATCTCTTTTCACAGCTATTACTAAGCTACACTAATGACTATATAATTTATGCGCTCTTTTTACGGCTATTACTAAGCTATACTAATGACTATACTAATGACTATATAATTCATACACTTGAGTAATTTGACTATTATTGTTATTGTCAATGACTACATAACTTAAGCGCTTTAGCAATTTAACTATTATTGAATGTTATTAATTTATAACTACATTCTTCATACGTCAGGGCAGAAATACTTGAGTTCCCAGGCTTAAGCCTCAGGCTTGGGTCACGGGATCATATCGGGCTTGAGTCACGGGCTAGGGTCACAGGCTTGGCCATTACACCACTCTCTCCTTACATTTTTTGCACCTCTTCTTTGTTTGTTACCAGAAACAGGTCCAGGTTTATTGGGATATCAATGATGAAAAGCTTTAACTACTTCTTTTGCATGACCCACGTTTTCTGTAAGTTCTCATGAACGTTTGTTTATATCATAGCCTTTTCAGTCCACTAGGTAATATAATTTTTTCCAAGTTAATTTTGCGTCAAGTATTTCATTGACTTAATATTCATATTCTTTATTAACTACAATGGGTGATGGTGGTTCAATAGCTCTTTCGGGGAATTCATTTGCCATGTATGGCTCTAGCAAAGATACATGGAAGGTGTTATGGACTTTGAATACAGAAGATAAGGTTAAACAGTATGCCACTGTGTTAAGCTTTTCACATAGTGAATGGGCCTAACTTTTGATAGTCTAGCTTCTCAGACAGCCTTTTAGTATGAATGTTGTGTCATAATAGCCACACCTTATCACCAATCTTAAAATTAGAACCCTTCATATGAAATCGGTCTGCATTTTTTTTGTAATTGTCTTGTGCGATTTTTAGCTCATCAATTAGGGTCTTTTTTATTTATTGTAATTGTTCAGCTTTGTCTTCAACGGATGGGACTAGAGAGTGAAAGGGTATCTGGAGATTAAAGTGTGGGTGAAACCCATAGTTGGCAAAAAAAGTTGAGGTTTTTGTAGATGCATAGATTGAATTATTATATGCGAACTCTGCCAATGAGAGTAAGTCCATCCAGTTATCTTGGTGATAGTTGATTGTACACCTGAGATATTGTTCTAACACTTGGTTAACTCTCTTGCTAATAAGGCGATAATAAATTAGCTCGAGTTCCTAGTGCTCTAAGTAAATACTTTCAAAATTTTGAGGCAAATAGGGGCCCCCTATCAGAGATAATCTCTTCTAGAACACTATGTAATCTTATCACTTCCCTGAAAATTATTTGTGCTGTCTGTTCGGCACTAATGCTATAAAATATGCTATTTTAGTTAACCGGTCCACTACAATGAGAATGGAATCAAAACCTGCTGATGGGGGTAAATCTGTAATAAAATCCATAGAAATAGATTGTATTAATGTGAGGGTATAGGTAGGGGTACCAACAATCCATGGGGTTTGTGCCTAGGATGTTTAGATCTTGCACAGATTTTACAGATTTTTATATACTTTCGTATAAAAGATCGAAGCCCTGGCCACCAAAAGTCTCGTATCATCAGTTCTACCATTTTGGCAACTCCAAAATGCCTGACTAATTTAGAGTCATGTCTGTTTTGTAATACTTCTAACCTCTCCGGTACTTTTGGTATATATAATAACCCTTCCCTGAATAGTAGTCCATCCTCTAATTGGAATTTGTAGTATTTGGAACGTGCACCTATGTCATCATTGTGGTTTGTTAGCTGGTTAATCACATCAACTGCAAGAGGGTCTGTTTTAATTTGTTCCTGAATGCGGCTCTTTAAAGTTGTATCAATAGGGGTTGTGAGTGTGGCATTGATACAGAGGTTTTCTGCATTAAGTAATATAGTGTGTTGCAGTTTTACCACTTCATCACCATCTCGGGTTGGTAATTCAGTCTTCGGGATAAAGCGTCAAATTTTTTATGTTTTTTATCTGGCCAAAATGCAATTATGAAATCATAGCTCGAGAGGAGGAGGGACCACCTGGCCTGGTGGCGGCTAAGATTTTTTGCAGTGGTAAAGTATTTCAAATTTTTTTGATCGTAATAGATAGTTATTTGATGTTGGGCTCCTTCTAAGTAATGTCACTATTGCTTAAAAGCTGCTATGATTGTGAGCAACTCTTTGTCATGTATATCATAGTTTATTTCTGCCAGTGTGAATTTTCATAAATAATAGGCAATAGGGTGATACTCTCCTTCATTTTGTTGCATTAGGACCACTTCCAAGGCGTAATCAGAAGCATCTGTTTTCAGAAAGTATGGTTCATTTGGGTCAGCCTGGATCAGTATTGGTGCTAATGTGAAAACATCTTTCAGTGTGGTAAAAGCTTGTTAAGCTTTTAGGGACCAATGAAACTCGTCCAAGGCCTTGGATTTCCGAGTTAGGTTTGTTATAGGGGTAACTACTTTTGCATAATTTTTGATGAAGTGCCGGTAGTAATTGGCAAACTCTAAAAACCTCTGTACTTCTTTTACAGAAGTAGGAATGGGCCAAGAGAGAAGGCTTTCGACTTTACTTGGGTCCATTTGGATCCCCTTATAAGTAATGTGATACCTTAGAAAATCTATACTATCTTTTTCGAACTCACACTTTTCTAGTTTTGCATATAGGCCCTGCTGTCGTAGACGTTCTAGTACTAAGTGTACATGCTGCCGGTGCACTTCTAGGTTTGGTGAGTATATCAAAACATCATCCAAATAAATAACTACGAATTGATTCAGAAAATCTTGAAAAATATTATTCATCAAGTGCTGAAACACAGCTGGAGCATTAGTAAGCCCAAAAGGCATCACTAGGTACTCAAAATGTCTGTACTGAGTACAAAATGCTGTTTTCCATTCATCACAGGGCTTGATTCGGACCAAATTATAAGCACCTCTTAAGTCAAGCTTGGTAAAGAACTTGGCGTCAGCGAGCTTGATAGTAATTTGGTTTAATCCCTGATAATCAACGCACATGCGTAAAGACTCGTCCTTTTTTTTAACAAAGAGAATTGGTGCCTCTGCTGGGAACTTTGAATATTGTATAAAGCCTTTTTTCAGGTTTTCTTCAATATAAAGCTTTAATGTTCCTGAGTGGATAGCCCATAAATGGGACCCCAGGCCGGTTGCTTGCCTGGCAATAAGTCAATAGCATAATCATATAGGCGATTATCAGGTAATTTATTAGCTTCATTTTTACTAAAAACATCGCTAAACTTTTGATAAGTTTTAGATATAGCAGAAGGCGTAACTAAAGTGCTGGAACTAAAAGCTATGGTTGTAAAAACCCTTACTACAAATAGCTGTTTTTCCTGAGTAGAGCTAGTTTCTTGGGTCTGAGAGCTTCCAGTATGCGTGTGGCAGACCAGGTCACAGAAGGTGATAGAGCGTTCATGCCAGTTGATCATAGAGTTATACATGGATAACCAAGGCAGACCTAGGATTATTTGATAATGAGGAGATAGAATAAGATTAAATATTAATTCTTTATAATGGTCTTGGAAATGCACAATCATTGGGCTTGTTTCGTGAGTGATGTTTCTAGAAGAAATTTTCTGACTATTGATCACTTCTACTGATAATGGAGTCTCTTTCTCTTGTATAGGTATATTCCATTCTTGGACAAATGTAGTATCTATGAAACACGCGGTTGCTCCTGAGTCAATTAGAGCCTGAGCCATTATTTCTGGGCTATCTAGTAAGTACAAACCCATCTCCAGAGTAATTGTGTTCTTTGAGGTGTTGGAAAATATTCTTTTTGGGGGTAGACTAATTTCTTTATCCAGCTGAGTCTCCCTTACTGCAGCTGGGGCTGTTCTTTTCCCAACAATTCTTCTGGAACCACTATGGCATCGATCTTTGGTTGTGCATTGCTCTTGTTAAACCAGTTTTTAATGATGTGTCCTGGTTCTCCACAGTATAAGCAAAGTCTTTTTTCACAGCGCCATCTTTTCTCTTTATCAGTTAATGGTTTGTATCTCATAGTATCTATTTGCATAGATTCTACGGTAGATGTTGCCGAGTTAGAGGGGCTTTGGTATTGGTATCTCCCAGAAGTAGGATCCCTGAAGGTTCTTGTTTACGTTCAAACAATCTATTATCACATCATACAGCCTTCGAAACTGCATCATTTAACATTGTAAGATCTTCTAAGGTGAGGAGTAAATTCTTTACATCATTTCTAAGGCCTGTTCTAAACTGATTGATTAAAGCTTCCTTGCCCCAGTTTAGGTCTCCTGCGATTTGCTGGAATTCTGAAGCATAGCTTGAGGCTGGCCTTGAGCCCTGGGTGAGTTTTTGAATTTTGTTTGCTGCTGTTCTGGATTTATCTAAATCTCCAAAAGTGGCTTTAAAATTATCGACAAGCTCTCCAAAGTCCTCAAGTAATGGGGATCATTGCTCTAATAGTGGAGCGAACCAAGTCAGTGCTGGGCCCGTAAGTAGACTTCCGAGTAATCCTACTTGGGATCAGTCATCTGGATAACGACTGGGTTGCATTCTTATGACCAGGTGAACTTGGTTCAGAAAACCTCTAAATTTAGCTTGTGTTCCGTCGAACTTGTCTGGGAGACTGACCTTAGGTTCCCTATGACAAATTTCCACATCTCCTTGAGCACGAAACTGGTCAAGTGTGTTTCTTAGATCTGTATTTTTTTGGTGAAGTGCTTGGGTTTCTAACTGAAGTTGGTTTAAAGCTGTCAAAATGGCGTAGGTCAGGAATAGCGTTGATTTTAGGTTGATGTTGATCTTCCATTTTTTATTTTTTTATTTTTTTTGTGTTTTTATGTTTGTGTTTCTATATTATTGCAAGATTGGATTTTAGAATAGAGAGCTAAAGTTGATTGGGGCTCTCTCTCTTTTGATACTAAGAAGGTGTGTGTACTAAGAAGTAGAAACGGGAACAAGGAGGTTAGTCTGTTTGAACTGTCACAGACGGATTTTTTAGATACTAAGAAGTGAATAAGTTTATTATTAAACAGACTGAATATTACAAAAAGGTTTGCATTCTCTTTTATCTCTTTTCACAGCCATTACTAAGCTACGCTAATGACTATATAATTTATGCGCTCTTTTCACGGCTATTACTAAGCTATACTAATGACTATACTAATGACTATATAATTCATGCACTTGAGCAATTTGACTATTATTGTTATTGTCAATGACTACATAACTTATGCGCTTTAGCAATTTAACTATTATCGAATATTATTAATTTATGACTACATTCTTCATGCGTCGGGGCAGAGATACTTGAGTTCCCGGGCTTAAGCCTTGGGCTTGGGTCACAGGATCGCATCGGGCTTGAGTCACGGGCTAGGGTCACGGGCTTGGCCGTTACAGACATTGATTAACCATAATCATTCAATTGTTCAATAAATTACCAATATAAGAATGAAGTTTGATTCTATTCACCTTAACAATTGTGTTTCAAGAGAACATGTGATTAACCGTAATAATAATTAAACTCAACTATAACTATTAAACTCAACTGTAACTACATACGTTCTACAATAGAAATTTTTACTTCAAATTATGGTAAAAATTGACAATCTCAACTGTAACTACATTAATAAATAATTCTGATAAAACTTATTAAAATTTAATTATATATCATGTATATTGCAATAAATAATTACTTCTGTAAAGAATCTTTAACAGTTATTTGATTAAACAAATAAGATGGGTAGTGCAAAGTGCCACCATTCGCACTAGTAATAGTAATTCGTAACAATGACGAAATTTTGATTGATAGTTTGATTCGATTTTGATACTTAAAGGAATTTTAATTACTAACTAACAATCTCTTTCTTTATTTTAGTTAAATGTTTTGTACTTAAGGTATCACAAAGACAAGAAATATTCAATAAATCGGTTTTTATCTTAAGGTCAAGGAAAATTTATGATGATCAATTTATTATAAGCGGATCAAAGTTTTCAGGGAAATAGTTTTCAAGAAAATAACTGTTT